CAGAAGCTTCTACTTATGCTTTTTGAATGGGTTTGGGTGTATTAAAATAATATTAAATGTGAAAAAGATGAGCCTACGTACATTCATGTCTTTTAAAGTATGCATCACTGACAATACATTGGAATTCCATTATCTGAAGCTTATTATATGGTAAAATAACAATGCCTGTAATTTTTATTTATCACAAATCTTAAAATAGAGTAAGCATTTAAAAAAAAAAGCCAATTTCTGTTCCATCAAGCTCTTGGGAGATGGGAGGTAAGCCTTTCACAGTAAAGCAAGGTATGTAATACACAGCTAGATCTGGAGAAAAGAGTAAAGATGACCTTGAAGCTTTTACAGTTAAGGTAGGGAACAAATATTTGTAGGCTTGAAGGCCATATGCTAACAAGGCAGATGTTTTTGTAAACCAAACTATTACAATGACAGCGCTAACTACAATTTTAAATTTAGTACCAATTGTATTTACTCTGCAATGTAGTAGCTTTTTACAAAAAGCAAAATACACTATTGCATAGTTTCCAAATGTGTTTATGTTCCTCTTTCTCAATTTTTTTTTTTAAAAACTGTGATTGGCTTACATTTTGTATGTAATGTGATAGCAAAACAATAGCAAGGAAACAGATACTGCAAATCTATAAACATTTTAAGTTCCATCTATTTTTCCTTGACACTGTTTTTTATGAATATTGAAATGCTTCCTGATTTTCACTAAAGCTTTATCTGTTTCCTTTCTATTGTTTTGCTATCACAGAACTGCAAAATTACATGCATTGTAAAATGTAAGCCAATCACAGTTTTTAAAAAATATAGTTTAGTTGATAAACATATAGCATAATAAACTCTGACCAAAAGTATGATTTCAGGTAAATTTGACAATTTCTACCTCAAACTAATTTCTGTTATAAATAATCAAAGTTAAAGTATTTATTTTTCTTTATTCATACTGGTAACTGTTAGTAAACAGAAAAATCGTTTTCCAACATTCAGTGATTGCAGTCTCTCTTGAATCAAATAAAAAAAATGTAACAGAGAACTCTGTGCCAATTCCAAATTGGCTCCAGACCTATCTGTTCAGATGAGGTTGGCTCATTCTGAGAGTTGAGTCAGCTTTTTTCTGGTTCTGTGCTCATTTATCTGAAACCAGAGCAAAGTTGGCTTTTTTTTTTTTTGTAAAGCAGGGGCTGTTTACCTATTGGCACCAATTCTTGCCTTTCCCTGTCTCCAAGATCTTGGACTCAAGTCATTTTATTTCAAGACAATCATTTAAAAATCTCAAGCAGCCTGGTTGGCTAGCCTCCTGCTGAAGTGAAGGGGGAAACAGAGAAAACGTTTGTCAATTTCACCCCTGCCTCTGTCATTGCAGTCTGGGTTTAATGTGAAAGGGGCTACAAAGAACTCTGTACAGTCAAAATATTGTGGATTAATTTCAGCTGTATTTTAAAGAGGATTTCTCATAGTTCCCCTGCACTGTTTAGGAGTTCTCCCTCATCCAGCCAGTCTAGCAGCAAGCAATTATAATTAGAGATTTGGGAAAAACACTTGGTTGTAAAATTGTTGATATGTATATTATGTATATTATTTCCACCATAGATGCTTTTATATGTGAGATAGTGACATTACCTCCAGTTTGGAACGTGTATGTGTGTGTAATATTTATGTATGAATGAAACTGCCACCACCCCCGCATAGCAAAACTGTGTGCTTGGGGAGGAGGGCATCTAGTAACTTTCACTTTTACTTTCTTTTTGTATGGAATGGGGAAAGTGGGAATTTTGCTTCTGCAGGATCCCCACAACTCAATGAAGAATTGAAATGATTATTTTATTATTTTGGTACTTTCCTCTTGGTCAGAGGAGGCAAGTGCTAACTAGCTCATGGTGATTTCAATATTTTCCATATTTTTGAGGTCAACATCAATAAAGACTGTTGCAGGATGGTTTTGTGCTGCTTTTGGAGGGAGTGAAAAGGAAAAATGTGGAAGTCCCCAGATAATTATTGGCGTGGTATAAAAAGTTTCATTAGGCAGGATAGCTATATTACATTATACTCCAGAGAATTATAAAGTTTGAAGAACCTCTTTTAACATATTAATCTTAGTATGTTTATTTTACATTTATGGTATATATGTATCTCAGCTTTCTGCCTATAGGGCACTTAAGGCAACTAACAACAATAATGCAATAAAATATCTCTTCCATGTGCCCAACAAATGAATGTTGGAAAATAAAGGCTCTTGTATTGCTCTTAGCTCCCAGACAGTTCATAGGAAGATAAGTGCTGTGTTGTCTCAGAGAGTCAAGCTTTAATATATAAAAGAGATCTATTTTTGTTGAGTTAAAAGGACAGAGATGAATGAGAATGGAGTTTTATTAATGAGTTCAATCTGATCAAAACACTTATTTAAAAATATTGTAAGAGTAATGTGCTGAAACCAAACTTTCATGCAGTGGGCTAAATCCAGCCTTGAATACATATGTCAGCTGACAGAAACAGGTTTGCCTGCTCCCTTCTTCTTACCCCTTCCCACAGCTGATTTAGTCATATAAAATGTTACAGGTGATGCTGGTGTTAAGTTAAGCTATAATGGTGGAAAGGTGGAAATTGGGCAACGATCCCTTTTGTCAATGGTGCATTGTCACTGTAGAAGGTGTTGTTGCTCGATTTTCCATCCTTTGCCCCCTCATCCCTGCCAGATTATTTCACTGGCAGGGGCCCCAGCTTTCTGTAAAAAAAAAAAAAAAGAGGGGGTTCCATAAGGAAGAGGAAATGAATCTATGTCCACCAGCCTATTTCCAAGTGCCTCAATCTGGATCCAACTCTATGTCACCACTAGGATATAACTAATAAAGTTAAATAAATACAATTTAGACCCATGATACTTTTTAACCATTAGTAGAGCTCTTAGGCAAAATCCTCTGGCGGTTGCAATAGTCTCCAGCAAAGAAATATGAAGGGACAAGTTGGCGTATTCCCAGCAGTGCATCAAATCTAATTTATATTCAGTTGGATAGAAAAACATTTTCTCTTACTTTCTTTCTTTTTAATTCCTTAAAATCTTTAGCCTTGTTTTTGTTCCGCACAAGAGCAATGAAATTAACTGTAACATTAAAATTGTACTAACGGAACTAAAAGATGAGCACTTATGTTTGCCATTGTTGATATTAATAATGTCACAGATCGTTCCCCTGAGAACAAAGAATAAGCACAAGCCACTAACCTTTGTTTTGCCATTCTTTTGTACCAATTTAGCTGATAATAGAATTTAATGTTAACAAAATATTAATGTTTACATACATTTCCCATTTGTGGTACTAAACAAAATAAATTGGATGCATGCTGATTTGACTACTATTCTGCACACCCATTGGCAATTCCCTTTAAAGTTGCTTGCGTCATAAGGAACAGAGCATAAGAGGAGGGACTCCTGCTGAGCCTTCAACTCTACTTAACATTTTTAATCTCCAACTAATTACTTTTTAATGAGAAGTAGTGTCCAAATTTGGAAAAGGAAGTCCATAGCAATTTCTGGAACTATACAGCTAATGAAAGATTAGCTGGCTTCACATTTTTTCCCACTACAGAATAAGTAATTCTCAAAATACGGAGAATTTTGATGCAGATAATTCTTAAAAATGAACTTTTAAACATTAGGGCATTACACCACTTTGTATTTGATGAAGCTCCCTTTCCTAGAGTCGATAGACATACTTTTAGTATGTCTATCGACTATTGTGCTTGTTTTTTTTCTTTTATCACTTTTAAGCTCTCTGCATCAACTTGAAGCTTCTGCTCTCTACTCCTAATTATAGTTTAACTTAATCACAGCTATAATTGCATTTATATGCAGTATGCATGATACTTTTATGTCTTGCTGGTGGCAAATGTTGGTAGGTAAAAAAGGTCTGCTGCCTTTCTTGGAGTTTGTTAATAATTCCTTACTTACTATTTTGAGAAGTATGCAGGTTGCCATGATCGGATTAAAATTAGGGATAGGGTCAGAAAATGGCACTTACTATTTTATTTAAGAACCCATAGTGGAGAAGGCTGCCCCATAATTTGAACACTGTTAAATCCCACCATTGTAACCCACTCCAGTTTACATCTTATGCTTCCTATTTGCAACAGCTCTTCTTTATGTAAAATATAGCTCAGTGTAAGCAAAGATCTATGTTGCTTACATTTCACAACTAGTAGAAGTATCTGAGGAAGAAGTTGGAGAAAAGGCTTCTAAACGTATTTATATATTAGGGGTGTAATACTTTTTGAATTCAAAATACCCTATTTTAAGCTTGAAACAGCTGTTTTGCATTCAAAACGGTCTGCCTTGATTGTTTTGGAATTGTTTCAAGCTTGAAACAGTGCTTCAGAGCTGTTGCAAGCTTGAATGATTTCTAAAATGATTGAAACAACCTGTGTCTAGTGTGAAACAGCTATTTCAAACTTGAAATAAGTGTTTTGAATTCAAAATGGTTGAATTTGAAATGTTTCACATGCCACTGTTTCCTATGCTGCAGCTTGTAGCCAAATCATGTTGTTCCCCTTTTACCCATGGTTGCTGTTTGCAGATTTTTTAAAAAGCTGAATGATATTTATTGTCCTACATACAATAGTTTAATTTTGTGGGTTAGACAAAGTAATGGAGCGTAAGTCTAACAGTGCTATTGGCTCTCAGTGCTTAAGCAGAACCTCCATTTTCAGTTCTAGCATATCTAAATATTAGTGGCTGGCACTATATTTTGTTGGGAAGCTTTGCAGAAATATCTTGCAAGATTGCATTGGAAACCAGAGGCTGAGCTAGATGAACTATTAGTCTGATCCACCAGAATTCCTGCTCATGTACTATTAATGAAAGGTACCAAACAGAATCAGAAAATTCATGCAGGCTGAGGCACGGTTAAATATCCAATTAAACTAAGGCAAAGAAAGTTACTCGATTAGTCCAGGCAATGGAGACTTTAAAAGGCTTGTTCATCTTAGCTATTTGTTTGGCTTTGCAGAACAGAGGGTGAATAAGTGCTAACAGTCAGAATTCTGGCTGTGAAGTCAGAGCTGGAAAAAAACAGTCCTATGTGGAAGGAACTGGATTGCTTTAATACACCAGTGAGTATTAAATCCTCCTTGAAAAATTAAAGAAGGTTGCTAGTTTCCATCAGCTGTATTTCCCCTGCTATTCCTCTTTATGAATACAGAGAGTACTGCCTCTGAGACTATAATAGAACCACTACAGTATAAATAACTAAGATAGTTTTGCTAGTACCTGAGATAGATCTTCTGGTTTGGAATGATGAAAATATTTTCCAACACAGCTGGAAGGTATCAGTTTTGAGAGGGCACTTCAGAGAAACAACAAGTGATTTACATAAGGGATGATTATTTACATAAATAATATAGACTCTTGTTCCTTTTTGGCCTGCCAGTGAGTTTTGGTGGCTCATTTTGGCTATCTTGCACTTTTTTTCTTGACCATATCAGTGTAATATTCCTGTGACTGAGTTGTTGATTAATCAAAGTTCACAGAATCCGCCTGCCGCTAGTTATAAAATCTCATGTCCAAAAACGTTTTGCCTGATGGCAGATAAATTTGCACATGCAGGTTCTGTGAACTTCTATTAATCACCAGTGGCAGGCAAAAAAGGAACAAGAGCCATGATATATACCAACCACAACTAACCATGGCAATTTTTTGTGATGAAACCTGCTGTGGGCATATTTATTCTGTGAAGTGCAATTGCATATAGTTTATGTATTATTGTAGCAGACAGCTGAACCCATTGAATGGAACTCCAGAGGTCTCAAAATTCTTCTTTCAGAACGCTTCTGAGTCTTTACCCTCATCCTACTCTTTTTCTACAGTTTTCTGAAGCAAAATTTACTCTGCATCTTTCACCTTAACTTTCTCTAGATTATGGAAATTTTAAACTTTCTTCAGAGGATACAGTGAACAATAGTAGTTCCATGTTTTTCCCAGACACAGTCCACAGATTTCATTGGAGTTCTGCCCTTTGTTTTAAAATGACCAACTCTTTTCTATTTCCAGCAGAAAAAGTAGCTGGGGTACCTGAATTTGAACATGCCCACAAACCATATCTACTTATGGGGATGTAGATTGTATGCTTGGATATGCTGCCTTAATCTGGAATGCAATCCACATTCGCATCGCTTGTTCAGGTAGTATTTTGTTTCCTTTTTTATTTGCTTTTAAAAATAACACTTTGTAGGGCTCTGCACATTTCAGTTTTAAGGCAAAATGTGACTCAAATACTTTTAGATTTAGTAGACTAATCTAAAACATGTGTTTGGTATGAGAGATTCACAGCTATGTGCAGATTTGTCTCACTACAATTTCTATGAATATCTTTATTTGTAAAAAGAAATAAAGTTTTTATTAGAATATTTGTGGCTTTGCCACAATGTTGGAAGATATATTGCATCAAGATAGCTAGGTTACCCACCTTAGATTTTTAAAAAAGTTATTTATTGATTGATTATTAATAGGTATTAAGCATTAATATTTAATAATTATTAATAATTATTAAATTATTAAAAGTTAATTTTTATTACTTCTACAACAAGAGGAAGAACTTGAAAAGTAATTAAAAATACCATTGAATGTTGCAGGACTTTTATTTGTTAAAGATAATGAAAACAAAATATGGTTGAACGTGCAGGAAAATATAGGATGAGCCATGGATTAAACCATGCATTAGCCTAAATCCATAGGATGACACAGGTCATGGCTGATTTTGTTCTGTTTCTTTTTTAACAGCAAACATTAGAAAAAATATATTTTGCCTGATGACTTTTAGGTAAAACTCAATTCAGAACTAAGCTAAACAATTGATATTCCTTCTGGGAAAAAATATTAACTAAATTGTTGAAACATAGTTACATATGGACCAGATGGGAGCCCAGTGGTCCTTCCAAATTTTAATCAAGCTATAGTTTTTTAAAAAGTTGTCAAGTTTTTTTATCAGTAGAAACGTGTTTACTCTAAGTGATAAAATCAAAACACACATTTTCAGTATTTTGTCTTTCAAAATATATATGTGCATTTTACGTGAAGTCATCACTTTATGAGGAATAGAGTAGTGACTGAGAATATAGAAATTGCCCATCATTAATACAGAGCAGATGAAAATTCCAGCATTTATGGATGAGGCAGGCATATTGTCCAGTACATTTGTTTCTTCAGTATTACACGTATATTTGCAAAATTAGAGAAAGGATCTAGCACAACACCCTTATTTTCCCAGTGCTGTTTTAGTTGTATCGGTTAAACAGTTTGTAACAGCCTGATTGTGACCTCCTCAGCAACATCTTGTGCTAGTAACAGAGATGGGCTGAGGCTAACAGAGAAGTCATTGATAAGTGTTGCTGTTTTTACAACTTGATGCCTCCCTTGTTAAGGGTTTCCTTACCTCCTCTACCCTCTGTTCTTGCTGCTCTGCCTCTGCCCAACCAGATGCTGGTTCATTAGCAGTTTCTTCAGCCAAGATTGTCTTTTAACATTTGTTTTATTTATATACATACATACATATATATACACACATACACGCATACATACACACACACACACACACACACACACACACACAATAACTACATATAGGGAATTGTACAAACTGGTAGTTGAGCAGTTTTAAATGAGGCTGAATAATTTACTTGAAGGAAATCCTAAAGAAATTAGTTTAGTATTTTGAAATTTGGATCTTATTAGGATATACACATTGAAATATAGTGATTTCAGTTGCTTTAGATCTTAGATCTAAAGTCTGAAAGCTGCACAAGGAATAAAATGAATATAATTAAAATCACAAGGAGCACATAATAGCATTATGCTTTGAAATTGAAGTTGAACTGCTGTTTCCTACTGAGTGATGCTTCCTGCTGTCTAAGCTAAATTGGTTAGTGAGAGGACTAACTGACTATAGCTTGGTGTAAGAGAGAATGGCTATGACTGGAATATCTTTAGGCTGAGCTTCTAGATAAGGCTTCATCATAAGCAAACTTTCCAACTCACCCCCTATTTTAAGTCCATTGGTCAGTCTACTTTCAATGTTTTTACAATGGTGCTCTGTGGGTGGATTAAACTGCAAAATGTGTTTGTGATAAAGAAGTCATGTATAAATATCAACAAAAGTGAATTCATCTAATATATGATAACAATCTGTCTGCAAGACAGGAGCAGAGTCTGTCAAAAGTTAAGGCCTATTAGTTTCAACGGGAAAGTATGATGTTTAACTCACCAAGTAGAAGTACAAGACCTTTGGCTGGATTAAGTTAATAAGATTTTTGACCAAAGTCAAAATGAAGATAGGAAGCCCAATCCAGCCTCTGGTAGCATATTGGAAAGCCTTAAAAGTAAAATATGATTCTCATTTGTTAAAACTTCAGAGTGGAGGAGTCTTCGTTTTAGTAGCTCATATAACTGTGTATATATTAGTCAGTGCATAATTACCTATTTGATGAAAGCAAAAATTGCTCTTGATGCAAAAAGTTTCCCAGAGCAGGTTAAATATTCATAAAAGCAAGACAGTCCCCAACATGGTTATAATTGGAAAAATATAACACATACCAAAAAAACAAAAAGTTCAATGAAGAATTACTCATCCATTGATAACCTCATGTCTTAGTTATTTGAATATCTGCTGTGTGATGTTGTCCTTATGCATGACTGGAGCTGCTTTAAACTGCAAAATGCAGTAACAAGACTATTGTCCAGTGCATATAGCCACTGTATGTAGCCCCATCAGTGAAGAACCTGGCTGACCAGGTTTAAAATTTTACTTTTTACCTTTTAGGCCCTGAGTACAGGTAGTCCTTGCTTAATGACCACAATTGGCACCGGAATTTAAGTTGCTAAGTAATGTGGTTTTTAAGTGAATCACACATTTGTTAAGTGAATCATGTGGTTCCCATTGATTTTGCTTGCTGGAAGCTGGCTGGGAAAGTTGAAATGGTGATCATGTGACCCTGGGATGCTACAACTATTGTAAGTGTGAGCTGGTTGCCAAGCGCCCAGATCATGATCATGTGACTGCAGGGGCGCTGCGACAGTTGTAACTTCAGGTACCGGTCATAAGTCATTTTTTTAGCACCATTGTAACTTTGAATGTTTGTTAAACAAATGGTCATTAAGCAAGAATTACCTGTAGTTTAAAACCAGTCTTCTGTATAGATCTGGCCAACAAGAGGTTGGGAAATACTATCACTCCTAATTTCTAGAAACTCCAGAATACTGGTGGTAATCAATACAAACAATGGATTAGTGGCTGGTGTTGATATGGGGCTTTTTCTTATACCTAATTGCTGTGACTCTGGGGTAGAACATACCATTCTTGAATGCCATCTTTTTGTTAACAGCAGTTTCATTCTCTAGGGCAAGAGCTGTCATAAGCAATTTTTCAGGTAAGACCGAGTGATAGAAAAAGAGCTTATCTTCTGCTAAAAAAGAATTAAGGATGGCTGAAACAGATGAGAAAGCAAATACAATTAAAGATTCCCTCTGTCTCAGAATGTGCCTTTTTGTTGTTTTTCTCTGCTCCTATAGTAATTAGTGTCGGTAGTTATTCATTTGAAATCCAGTTAGCCAGAATTGTAAGCAAGTTATTAGATGCTGCAAATAAACAAATTAAGCTGACAGATCTCTTTACTAGAGTATGCAAATTTATTATTAATACAAGCCATTATATTTGCCATGGAATCATACTATTAGATTCATTATCATTTAAATATATAGCTTAACTATTATGCATTAAATGTTTTCATTTGCATACCAGCGTGACATATTTTACACAAACATGTTCATATTGAAACAAGGTAATTTACATAAGTATTAAAAGATCCCATTAGGTTGGATTGCTAGTTCTACTTTAAGCATATAATTTCATGGCAAGACATTGCACTGGCCACTTTGATTTCTTACAGACTAGAGAAATATCAGTCTTTTTATGAGATTCATATAAAGATAATCTAAAGCCAGACTAATTAGTGGCCTATTTGTAATTTAAAAGATAATCCTATTTTTCTTAAAGTCCCGGGGCACCATAAATCAATTAAAATGTGATGGTATTTGTTACATTCCATAAAAACTCATATTCTGATTCTGCAACATATATCCCAGCACACATTTCGGTTGTTTATCTAAACAACCAGACTATTAAACGATTACACTTCTCAGGACTATATTAAACGATGAGGTCTCCAGCCAAGTGTATCCTAAGTCCAAAAATAAAAATAATTTAATTATAATTTTACTTTACCTGTGTTTGTGTTATACATGCTAAGATGATCTACACATTACAAGGAACTAGTGTTATCCTACTGTGTTTGAGTAAGAATTCTAAACATCCCAGGCTAAATATACTTACCAAATGGAACAGCATTTGCAGAACAATTCAGTTGGCCACATCTCTGTGTTTAGGCATCAGAGGAAGAATTTTCTGTTAATTTAGACATTTAAAAGTCATGTTGTTTCAGCCTTTCAGTTACAAATGAATGGATGGATGGATTGATTGATTATGTGCCATCAGGTCAGTGTTGATTCTTGGCAGCCACATAGATTTTCTCCATGACAATCTGTCCCTAACTTGGTCCTTCAGGTCTTCCAACAGGGCACTAATTGCCACTGAACTGAGTCCATCTATCTTGTTGCTGTTTCCTTCCACCTTTCCCAGCATTAAAGCCTTCTCCAGAGAGCTAGGTCTTCACATAATGTGCCTGAAGTAGGATAATTTCACCCTGGTCATTTGTGTCTTGACTGAGAACTCTGGATTGAACTCTGAGTGATCCATTTGTTTGTTTTCTTGATTGTCCATAGAATTCTCAGGAGTCGTCTCCAACACCAGCGTTCAAAAGCATCAATACTCTTCTTATCCTGCTTCGTCAAAGTCCAGCTTTCACTTCCATAGAATGTTGTAGCATTCTGTGTAAGCAATTGCAATCTTTCTTACACTATTCTGATCTTTCTAGGTATAGACACATAACAACATCTGAATATCTTTTCCAAAGCCTTCATGGCTGCTTACCAAGAGCTAGTCTGCAGTGTATTTCTTGACTGCTTGTTCCTCTATTGTTGATGGTTGCTCCTAAAAGGCAGAAACTATCCACCACTTCAATATCTTCATTGTCAATTCTAAGGCTGGTTTTTGTACATGTTGTCATTAGTT